AATATAATTTTTTCTCTTTACAATTTTGTAATAGTTTGGGCTGGCACCAAATTACAGGGTGCAAAATAAATGGGTTTCTACGGATATGGGTACGTTTGCAAGCATCAGGTGTTAAGAGGACACCCATGTCGGCGGGCTTCCTCACTTTCTCCTGCTCACTCCCGCTGAAACATCTGCCGACAACATGGAGCAGCTCTCAGCTCCACTCTGTTTTGCTGTTTTGGGTTTCGCAACGCCTTTAATCAACTTGAAAAGACCATTCGCCATCAACTGGGTTACATGATGGCCCCCTTTTTGTTCGGCCCGCCTGTTTTTGTCACTTTTTGAGCCGAGCCGACTGCTCTCTGCGGTTCGCTTCAGCGTGTGTTCTCAACTCACCCAAGTCAAAACCAACATCTTTCACGTAAAGCCCGTGGCAGTCCAGCACCAGATGAGAGTAACGCGACTATTATTCCTTCAAATAGATAAACAGAAAAAAAAAAACCCCTGAAACTTTCTCCCCTCAGGAACCGCAGCTTGACGCTGCCACGGCGGATCAGTGGAACGCTGTGGGGCACAGACTTAATTCTGAGCAACAGAAAGTGCCTCGGACGAGGAGCCCGCTATTGTTTCCCGCGGCCAGCAAACTGCCCATGAACTCACCGCAGCGCCGTATCTGTTTCAGTGTGCACGGCAACACAGTGGTGGGAGAAAGCGGCGTGTTTTGGAGAACTTTGCGGCTGCTGACTTATGCAAAACAGATGAGGTTTGAAGGAGAGTTGCTATTTTGGGAGGTTTATTTCTTCTTCTAGGTAAACCACAGCTCACAGGCTAATGCAGAAGAATGAGGTTCGGGGTTCAAGTGCTTTTTACAGAGAAGACCCTTACCCCAAGTGACAGACTGACACAGAGCTTGGTGTTTGCGGTGCAACCTTAGTGAGATGTGAGCAGAGTGACTGATGAGCACTCTGCAACGTGGAGTAAAAAGGAGCTTCCTGCACCCTCGGGATGCCCTTACCGGCTCTCCACCAGGCCCATCCTTCCCGGTGTTTCCTGGGGGCCCACGGGCGCCAGGAGGCCCAGGAGGACCGGGAGGTCCGGCGGGTCCAGCTTGGCCTTGATCACCCTGATGAAAGTGACAATCACATAAAAAGAAGAGTGGGTATTAGAGAAACTATGTTTTTGATTCACAGAAAAGTAAAGCACAACTTTCGGTCACACCGAGTCACTTTTATATGCAAGCAAAACAAAGTGTGGAGAATGACGACAAAAACAAATTAGAAATTCACTTTATCTCAGGCAGTAATTTAAAATACTCAGAGGTGCATTTAGCATGTTTGGCCAGGTGGTGGCAGCAGACACAGATCGTCACCTGACAACATGGCTTTAGGTAGGTCAGGTTTTATTCTATAAAATGACACCCATAGCAAAGATGCATGCATGATATGGCCTAAAATAAATTCGACGTGTGTCACAGTAGAATAATCTCACATTGAATAATCTGATTTATCTCCCTAAAATTGAGAATCAAACTTTGTCTGAATGAGTCAGGTTCTTCTTTGAGTCAAACGGATATTTTGTTACACAGCGAAACATCCAGTCTGATCTGATTTATATTTTAGGGTTTATTTTCATATTAAGCTTAAAAGAAACAGTCTTGTTTGTCAAAAAAAAAAAATAATTTGTTTACTGTGTTATTCCAAATAAAAAGCATTTTGACAACCTCATCTGATGCATATTTCCCATTTGTGTTGAGAACGGAAAACCATTAATGTTCCTAAAGTTTCTGAAAATTATAGTGGAGACACTTTCTCTACACCCATCTGGAGCGTTATGGTTTGCTTTGTTCAGGCGAGTCAAGTGGTGATTCAAGTCATGGTAATTGGAGAAATGTATTTTGTCAGTGATTTTGTCTGTTCATTTTGAAGCCGTCCAACAAAACAGAAAGGAAATTAGCTGCAGATCTTTTAGATAAATGTGCATTCTGATAGTTTTTTTTAAGAACTGACAGAGTTTCAGTCAAATTTAGACAATTAAAACTTATTTATTCATCCCAGTTGCTCTAAAAATAAAATAAAAAATCTTTGCTTCACTAATATGGTTAAAGGAAAAAAAAAAGAAGCAAAGAACAGCACAATCAAATTACGACAAAAATCAAACAAACATAAATTTATTACGCGTAACAGAACCAAAAGGAGCAAAAAAGAACAGAAATGATTCAATTAGCGCATGCAAACGAGAGGCGGGTTAAAGAGCTAAAAGAGGAAGCACATGCCTTTTAGTAGAGGTCTACCTTCAGAAAGCGTCTCTGAAAGCTGCTGGACTGCTCTCCAGCGAGAAAGCCGTGATCATATCGGGGGAAAACCATCTGAGGCGCAACAGATGTGCAGTTGAGGATAAGGGAAAAGAGAACGAGAGAGAAGAGAGAAACAGAGATAAATGGGCAGAGAAATTTGGAAATTTGTGTTAAACCGGGAGTCCGGGCGCAAAGGAGAATTAGGCCGCTGCAGGAGAAAACCGAGGAGTCAAACTCCAGCAGACTGCAGAAGAAAAAAGCTGAGAAGAGGAGCGACGCGATCTTCTCTCTGCAGAGACAGTGACAGATGTGCAGCGGGCGGCGAGAGGTGGCTGCTGGGAGGATTATGGAACGTTACAGCGGGAGTAACAAACCTTGACAGCGATCTGATTACTGTGCAGACCTGCGTATGTGCTGTAGGTCGGAGGACCCTGAGGAGAGGAAGTCGCACAGTGAACAACAACTCACAAAGCAGCGCTGGCAATCTTTGACAAGAAACATCGTCCTGCAGATACGACATTCGTGCTCCTTCAGCGTATTCGCAGTTTGATATGCAAAAACAACAAATGTCAGCGTGTGTGAATAGTGCATTTTTTAAAAAGGATTTTTTTTTACACTAAGAAAAAAAAAACAAAAAAAAAACATGCCATGAATGTGCATTGAACCCTCCCGAGTCGAAAACATGTAAAACAAAACGTTTGACAATAATTTGTCCCAGAAAATATCGAGATCAACGATAACATTTTCCTTTTGAAACCTTTTTGAAATAATATATTGATAATGGCAAGATAGTGCAAATTTGCCCTTTCTGAGGCTGAAAATCTTTAATGTTGTACAGAACACTCAACACTGGAACTGGAAGACGTTTCAAATATCCAAAAATAAAACATAACAAATTAAAAGGAAATAAAACACACACACACACCCAACTGAAACCATAAATAAAATGGATTATGAAGTTTCTGCAAACAAAAAAAAATCACTTCAAAAAATATTATCAGAATGAAAATTATTGAGTTCATTTTAATTTATCACGCAATTAATTGATTAGACGTTCTTTAAAAAGTTTTCTTTCAGAATTGCCTTGCGTTTGGCTCATCCTACCATCTAATGAACTCTGACCTGTTAAAAAAGACAAAAAGTGCCTCATAGCATGATGCTGCCACTGCACAGTTTCACCTTGAGGTTGTGACGATCAGAACGATGTTCGGTGTGGGTTTTCCACACCATATCATTTATTTTTTGGTATCGTCTGACCAGAGCACCTTCTTCTGTGTCCCACTCCTTCATAAAGGCCTCCAGCTAATCCAGGGTCATCATGCTTAACTGCTCTTCTGATTCAAGCTCTTCTTGCCAGTCTTTTCAGATCAGATGGACGACCTGGGCTTCGTGGGACATTCAAAGCTCGGGATATTTTTTTTTTTTTTTTATAACCTCACCCTACTTTAAACTTCTTCACAACTTTTTCCTGTGTCCCATGGTCTTTGTGATGCTGTTTCACTAATGTTCTGTGACAGACCTCTCTTTCGCTCTAGGCTTTAATGTAACAGCTGCATTTATACTGAGACTAAATTACACACTGGTGGACTTTAATTACTATCTTCATGACTTCTGAGGGTATTTGGTTACACTGGATTTTATTTAGGGGTATCAAAGTGAACAGGATTAAAATAAAGCAGAAAATAAAATGCAAGTCTTTCCTTCCTCTTCCCATCTACGCACTACTTTGTCTTCATTTATTGCACAATGTCCCTATGAGATTCACTGGACTTTGTGGATGGAATGTGACAGAATGTGAAGAAGCTCCTTTAAAATGCGTTGCATGTGCATTTTATTAGGACGAAACGGTAAAAATCTGCAAACTGCAACCTTTGCCCCTTTGAAATTTATGCCTCAGTCATCCATCCAAGGCTGTATTTCTCGGTGAATGTGTACGTGTGCTCTGTGGAATGGCTTCCCATCTTTCCCAACCCAAACAGAGGTGGCTTGGCTCTTTCCAGTCAACAGACAGTAATTGTGTTGATTGTCTGTCAAGCTGAAAGGAGCAGAGTTTGTCTGCCGCCACAGAGCTTTGAGCCTCCCTGGTTGAGCTCCCGCAAAAACACGAGCGGGGTGCAGGGCGGATGGAGAGACGTGATGAGGAGGTCGGTCTTGGAGAGGGAGAGGGAGGAACAGCGGAGAGCGAGGAGCGGCAAGAAGGAAGGGAAGCCTGCCGGAGAAGTTTCTGCTAACGACGAGCGCCGGACTGCTGAGGTCCCCCCCCCCACCGAGACCACCAAATGCTCCCTCCTCCTCTTCATGCCTATATACTCCTCTTTTCCCCTTTGTCACATTCACTCATTTACACCGCTCCCACCATGAAGACCACATATGCTTCTTTAAACGTCTCATAACAGAGGAGGCTGTTTCACAGCGGGGATCGCCTTTAGCTCATTCCCATCAGAAAAACCAAGAAAAACAGACATCCCCCCCCTCGGAGTCCGGCTTCAAGTTGAATTTTTACTGCTGTTTCAAGGGAGGCAAAGAGAGAATTTTGGCTGTGGATGCTCGCGACTTGTGCTCGACAACAGAAGGGTCAGATGAACCCAAAGGTGCAGCGACAGTGTCTTCTATGAATAAACTGGAAGATATGGATATCTTCAGGCTTCCTTTTGATAAAGGTTTTCTTAGAGATAGAGAAAGATGCGAAAACTGCACATCCTTTTGTATTTTGGTGGTTCTACAACAGCCAATTTGGGCTTAATGCGCCTCGTTTCCTGCGTTTGTGACCAGGGTCTGCCCGATGATAGCTCTGAACATGATGGATCGACAGGAAGTCACAGGTTGACAGAGATTCATGGGCGCTTCCTGTTTTCACATGTATTCCTTCATCCTGAAAAGTTCAGAGGTGAAGCAGAGCTCACTGTCAAAAAAAGGGCAAAGTGATAACTGAGCTTATGCTGGAATAATACTAAAAAGAAAAAAGAAAACTCCCTACGCAGCACAAGCTCTTACTTGCTTTCATATTAGGGTTTATCGATGAAACTCCACATGGAGGAATCACTCACGGCGTTTGTTTTGAGTCGAGCATGTGTTTCCAAGCAATGTCCTGAGGTTTTGGGGAACTGCAGACTTATCCAAAGGCATCAAAGCAAGAGAGGCCTCGGCCAAGAGCAATATTCACCGTTTGGAAAAACTACCAACAGGGAATGCCAAAAATATTTTGAGTTATTGCCTCAGAATCAAAAATGCATAGGTAGGAAAATGTAATGGCCTACGTCCTGATTGAAATCAGGAATTCCTGCAATGTTTCAGAATCGCATCATAAAATATCTTTCCACTGGGCAAGCTTTGCAAATGTCCACTCAGTTTCAGCTCTGCTATAACACAGTAACCACTTTGTGCTTCCAGCGCACTCACTGTGTGTTTTGCTAAATGTTCAAACCTCTTGACCTTCTTCACAATTTGTCACTTTATACAAACTGCCGCGTGTTTTGTTGGAATTTCACGAGCTAAAAGCAACATAAAGTAATGAATGGCTATGAAGAGGAAGGAAAACGGTGCATAAGAATGAGGAACATTGTGGCGTGCGCTTATATTCACCAATTTTTTTCTGCATTTTGAACAAGTTGATTGGGGATAAGTCTCATATTTCCTGTAGCTGCTACAAATTCTCAATTAGATTTAGATCTAGGCTAGGCTATTAATAGAGATTAAGTAAAAATAATGTTATTATCATTAATCATAGCATAAACATGTCGATAAGAAGAACTCTATATTTGAAGTTTGAGTTTTAAAGCAAAGGAAAGACAGCTTCATTGGTCAAGAAGACACCTACTGTGTGTGTTCCCCACACAGACAAGAAACCTTTCTTGCACAGAAACGGCAATCTGATCTATTTTTCCTAAGGATGAATATACCCAGGATGTATGTGACCGTCCAAACAGAATCTAATATTTACCGCTTTGCGTTGTACAGAAACAGTTTTATTTTCAAACCACACTGGAGGAAATTATAGATAATTACATATTTCCCGTAGATACTAAGCTAATATCACAAACGCAAAAAGAAAACACAGACCGAATGCATAAGGAAAGTTATTTGATTATGTAAAAAAAAAATAAAAAAGTTGAAAGTGGATAGCAACTTTGGCACTCTTTTCCAACAATTGAGTTTTGATGGGGATGTTCAAATGTTTCCATCATTCTCTCATTGCATCATTTCCTCATTTCTGGCTGAGGAGACATAGGCAGCTCATCCAAGGAGTGAGCCACACAAGAAAAACACACTTTTTCTTTCTTAACTACCAGATGACTTTGAGGGACTGCTAAAAGCAACGTGGACAGACACAGTCATGATGAAAATAATTGTTTTTAATATTATTTCTTCATCCAGGCCCAGATTGCTCAAGCTGTTTGTTATGTTTTATTCAGTCCTTAACCCCCAAAAGATGGCAAATTTCTGCTCCCTTAACTGTGATTTCCTCTTTTTGATGGTCTGTTACTTTGTCTGGTTTCAGTTTAACTCATTACTCAGACTTTCCCTTTCTAAACCTTTTCGAGTAGGTGGACACATTCTGCTATTGCGAAATAACTATTTAACACAGGTGCAGGATTGTAATAAACTTCAAAAATGTTTAAGCCTTAAACCTTCTATGATGCTAGCGAATGCAAATGCTTCTTGAAAAAAAGAAGAAATGTTTTAAGAAAGTTTTCATTGATTAATTAGTAGATTTTTAATTCTACATAAAAAATGATGAATCCACAAGCAGTTATCTTTTCTTATGAATATTTTATATCACCACCAAAGCTGGGCTTTGAATGACTAATGATTATTATTTTTATTTTCTTATTTTTCTTGGTTTTGAGGTGGAACTATTATTGTGTTATGACTTATTCTAGGCAAAAAGGTTAATCTCCTGTTAGACTTTAGCAGATTTCCTCACGTTATCTTTATAAAATTGTCTCTAGACGAAGAGAGAAACATAATATAGTTTTCCATTTTGGGTCAATTAAGTTGAATTTCCACAAAAAGAAGAAACACAATAACCACACAAGGTTTAGCTGCTGCTTATTTCAAAGTTAAGTTGAACTGAGTCATCGTACTTGATGTCTAATATCAGGATATAAAAATAAACTCTTCAGCCAGATTTAGATTAATTTTAGCCTTGACAGCCTTTTCACCAATAAATGTTTATTTGTAAATTAAGCAGCTTTAAACCACCACACTCCCACCACAGCGCTTAGGTAATCATGTCTTTGTTCTTTATTTTTTATTACTTAGTTCAACATTTTTCAGTGTAGCTTTGATTAAACGCTTCTGTGGTACAAACACTTTCCCACTGCAGACATTTAATGAAGGTCACCATAAATGATCTACATCTGCTGTGGAGGTTAGGCTATTTATGAGGCTTCTTCAGGACTATTTTTAAATGGCTACAAATGAAAAGGGTCTATTTTCCTCTTACTCACTTTCTTTCTTTCTGTCTTGTACTTAAAGATCCCCTTTGCCTGTATAGGACGCCTTTGTTTTATGTCTATATTTTTATCGTATGTGAATGTCAAGTATTCCCTTTCATCCTTGTTTGGAGTTCAAGACAATGAGGATATCCCAAATATTTTTTTTTTCTATTCGCATGTTTGATTGCAGGAAATAACCCATAAAAGTTATTTTAAGACAGCGTGGAGTCTGGGTTTCACGTTTGTATTTGCTGATTAATGGACAGGGACGAACTTCCAAGCTGTTTGCAAAGGTAAATCATCCTCTCCACCCCATGTTGCCTTTTATTCAGTGCCTTAGATTTCCATGTCTTGGAAAACTGGGAATGTACACCAACATACATCCTGTCCCACCCTACAAAATTTGATTTCCCTTGAGGACAAGATGAAAACTTTTTAGCATATTGTAAAACAGTCGTATAGTATAAAACTCTGTATTGAACTTAATATGACAGTGACTTTAAGTTTATATTATATATAGAGAGCAAAATGCACGCAGTCCCTTGAAAAAGTATAAAACCCCATTGAACCTTTACATATTTTGTCAAATCATAGCTGCAAACTTTGGTGTACTTTATTTGGATTTCATGTGACAGAACAAAGTAGAGTGTAACAAAGATCTGAAGTGTGTTGTGTGCATTTAAATCGTCTTTACTCTAATACATCTGAATAAAAACGTCTGTAACCAGTTGCTTTCATAAGTCACTATTTACATGAATACATTTCTCTTCTGCGTGATAAATGTTAGTTAACGTACAGCTGCTCTATAAAATTTTCAGAAGTTCACATTAGTGGACAATGAAGACCAAGGAACATGGTTCAGCACAGGGACAAAGTTTTGCAGAAGTTTAGAGCAGAGTAAGGTTATAAAATCATCTTCTGAACATCTCGCGGAGATCTATTTAATACAGAGTGTGGCACAGATGAAAATCAACCAAGGCATGACTATTCCACCTTACAAGCCAGGCAAGGACAGTGTTATTTCCAAGAACCAGCCAAGAATTTCATGCTAACTCTGGAGGGGCTGCAGAGATATACTAGCGACTAAGAGTTGACGGAAAAACAGGCAGAGTTTAATACAGGGCCATTTTGGAAGAAAAGCTCTGTAGAGGATACAAAAGCCCTGAGACCAGGGCAGAGCTTAGTCTTCCAGTTGTATAGTGACCCTAAACGTACAGCCTGAGCTGCAACAGAGTGGTTTAAATCAAAGGATATTCATGTGTTAGAACGTCCCAGTCAAAGTACAGACCTAAATGCAACTGATAGTCTGTGGTAAGAACTGAAGAACTATTTCACAAAAACAAAAAGAAACAAAACAAAACTATGCAACAACTGAACCATCTAAACTGTGCGAAACGTTTCCCCAAAAACGTTATTCAATCTCTCACAGATGATAAGAAATCGTGACTTACCCTTGGCCCAATGTCTCCTTGGTCGCCCTGATAGAAAAACAGGAAAATAACAATTGTCAGTAGTTCTCAGAATTGTAAATGTACAAACGGCTAATAACTCAAGGGCTACTGTGGTGCCGCAATGACAGACAAGCTTACTTAAAATAGTGTTTATAGGAAGGAAGCAACTCAAGGGTCATCGGTCCAAACCACAATGGGATGTAAACATTTACTGGATAAGTCACTTGGACAGGATGAGATCGGGGTAGTAACAGTGGGTGTGTGCAGGGTGAGGATTGTTTTTTGATGAGGGCCGAAAGGTCACGCTCTCATTATTGAGCAGCTATTGCGACGACACAAAGGAAAGCTGTTTTCTTTTTTTATTTAAAAAAACATTCACATCATCTGTCTGCTGGAGAGAACGCACGTGGATGAGTCCGGCCCTGATGGATCCTGTTCTGCTTATCTGCAGCTCTGCCACTTGAGGGCAAAAGAAAAGCGCTTCAGCACGAGCGCGGGCATCGATAAGCACATGCCAACCTCAAACCGCTAGAAACTTCCAACGTCTTCAGCTGGAAGGAGAGCGGGAAAACATCTGGCTATCACCGAGCTTCACGGAAGGTCTGCAAACCTTCTCGGTGAAGTATATGTTATCTTTTTCCTCATTTAGTCAGTGAACGGCAAAGACTTGAAAGTCTCCAGAGCAATCAAGAGGCTACATGCGTCTCTGTGGCTTTGCAAACAAAATAATGTTAGTGCCCAGCTAAGCACAGCTGGAACTCTAGTTGGAGCATACCTTCTCTCCCTTGGGTCCGGGCAGGCCCTGCAGGAGAGATAAGAGAGATAATCAGAGACAGTTGGGGAAAATAAATCAGTGACGCACCGTAGCGCATTGCGTCTTCTACGTGGCGTAGGCAGAGGGTATTAAATCAAGCAATAAGACAACACGGCGACACCGCTTAATTATGCGTGTCACGGAGATCGCTTAATCCCGACCCGCTTTCTGCTGAATGTAATTCCTTGTTTGAAGTAAAAAAAAAAAAAAAAACATCTTTCAAGTATGTATGCAGGAGTTAAAAAATGTGGTGAGAGATGAAGCTGAAAAGCAAAGATGTTCCTTTTGTTCCTACATCAGTCTTTTTGACAGATGGGAACTTTGAAGATGTTGTCGCGCGGGGAGTCCATGGATTTTTGTGTTCGGCTCTGTGGGTTTTGTTGTGTCTTTGGGGTTGAATGTCCCCAAACACTAACAGAAAACATGAAGCTTTAGTGTTCCTAGGCTGTATATCAGATAAAGATACACAGTCCTGCTTTGTGTTGGACGTTTTGACATAACATTTATAAACGGTGGGCAAACAGATGAGATTAGTTTGCTGGCCGCCTTTCTGTCCCCGTCTGTCCACTGTGCACAAGTGGCACAAGGACGTCACATGTGGTGGCACCACAAACGGAAAAGCGCCACGGTGACAGAAGAACAAAAAGATGGAAATCAGCCAACCTCGACAGGCCCTCCAAACGTAGTCGTGCTCCTTGGACCTCTTCATATTTTGTCATGTTACCACCCCAAACTTCAGTGTACTTTATTGGGATTTTATGTGATGGGCCAAGACAAAGTGGAGCATAAGCATCCAGTGGAACCAATTGTCTTCAGAAGACACTGCGTTACTAAAAAGAAGTAAGAGTAATAGAGTCCAGCTGTGGGTCCCTATAAATCTAGTTGCTTTGTGACGGACTTGGATGGTAAATGGGTCACGTTTTTTATAGAGCTTTTTCAAGTCAGAGGACTCCAAAACTCTTTACACAACAATCAGTCACTCATCCATTCAATCACACACTGATCGCGGTGCGTTACATTGTAGCCGCAGCTGCCCCCCGGGGGCAAACTAACAGAAGCAAGGCTTCCCATTCAATCAGCGCCATCGGGCATGCCGACCACCAGCAGCAGGCGATGCTGCTGGTCCAAGGACACGACAACTGAAACGGACGTAGCGGGGGACTGAACTGGCTACCAACCCGTTACAGGACAAACCTTGAGCCACCGTTGCTCCACAAGATCAGAGGCTTATAGAGCTGATTACTAAACCAAACGCAACAAAAAGGCCCGGGAACACAGCGGACAGGTCAGGAATAGAGGGATGGCTCTGATGTGGCGAGACCTGAAAACCGATGTTCACAGACGCACTTGTATCCATTCTGACAGTGCAAGAGAGATTTTTCAGTGAATAATGGGGCAGGAATTTCAGCCTCCAGATGTACAAAGCTGGTAGAAACATACTACAAAGGAGCTGACGCTGTCATCGCAGCAACAGGTAGTTCCACACAGTATCGATTCAGACGACCTGAACATAAAAATGCAAGCCAAATGCATTTGGCTGATCTTTTTTTCTTTTTTATTAGTAAAGACTTCTGAAACCCTTTCTTCATCACAATTATGCATGACTTTATTCAATAATCACTGAAGAATATGAAAGCAATAGAACAAATATATAGAGAGATATTTAGAGAATAAGAAATCAATGTTCTATCTGAAATGTTTCAAGACATTTTGCTCCATTTTGTTTTGTTTCATAACATAAAATCTCAACATTAAAGTGTGTGTGGCAAAATGTGAAAAGGTCCAAAGGATGTGAGGGTATTAAAGCGCTTTGTTTTGACCCCGGGGACTTAAAAGTGACGCCACAGTTCAGATCATAGTTTGTCTTTCTAAACTTTTTCCATTCATTGTTTGACTAACCTTATGTTGGACTTAGCACTATGTCCCCTCTGGCTGCTTTGTTGAGCCTTTTGACTGTAACTTTTTATTTTTTTTTTCCACCTTCAGACGGGGCTTTAAATTTTACCCCTGTCTTCGTTTTTCTTTGAGCCAAATATTTTGTTTGGACAGGAGCTCCTATTGTTTTATGGAGGACAACTTTGACAAAGTGGGCAGAGTGGAGAGGCAGCCATTGCTGCCTTTCTCCAACAGTGCCTCTGTACTTTAGGTCGAGGTGAAAGCAGGAGGAAAGTTGTGTGATTTTACAAAAATGTACTTGACAGATAACGATCTCCATTTAAGAGTTTTGTCGTACTGGAACTTTCTGCTAACAAATCAGTCATATTATACTTGAGCTTTTCTTCCTGCCTCCTCTTGTTTTTAGCAGGGCGCTCCGTGAATTCAGAAGCGACCCAGGCCAGGAGGTCTACACCTCTCCCGCCGTGGTTTTACGACACACCATTGGTGATGGAGGAGATTCCTATTAAATGACAGACTGAACTTTAAGTCTGTTTTAACAGGAAGCAGGAGTTCAGTAATGTTTGGAAACTACTTAAAGGTCTCCAATTAGGCTTTCGGATGTCAGGGAATGATCCGTTCTAGTTGCATGCAAAGGAAAGATGTTTCCTATGCAAAGCAGGTGCTGCAAATATCATTTAGATGTTACTTAAAGAAATCCAGGGAACAAATAAATAAATAAGATAAAAGGGCTGGCAAGGCGCTGGCGGAGGTCAGCCAGAGGAGGAGCAGAGGACATCGTAATGACTTTTTAAAGAGCCTCTGTTTGAGGCTGTAAACACCATTCTGGCTCCTTCTTTCCCACCGGTGTGTAACCCATTCGCTATGCTTTGCCCGTTTACACGCCACACCTGGGTGTGCCTCGGAGCGCGCGGCGTTTCACGGAAAGGTTGATGAATGGGAGGGCAGAGGGGATTTCTGAATTAGCTTCACTTGATCCATGACTCCCTCGTGACTGTGAGCTCTGGGACGACTTAAGATGTGGAACAGCGATGAAAATAGCTACCATGTTTTCTTTTTTAATAGGAACAGTAAAAATGATTGATGCGCTACACAAAACCCACCTGTCTCCCAGGCAAAGTACCCATCTCGAGTCCCAGTTAACAAAGTCTGTACGTAGGAACGTCTTTATGCTAACTGATGGGTGTAATTAAAGAGCTAAACAGATGTGTGAGCACGTACCTGACTTCCTTTGAGACCCGGTAAGCCCTAAAATGAGAAAAAAAAAACAAAACAAAGAATTTTAGTGTAAAATCGGATCCTTAGAAAAGATCGCAAAAAATCTGTGTACCAGAGTACTTACTGGTTTGCCATCCAAGCCGAGAGGCCCCTGTTGGAGGGAATAAAAGACAATCATGAATAAAATAAAAATAAATGCACCGCATCTAGAAGTGTTGGGAACATCACTGTGATAGTTTTTGTAAAGAACATTTATGTCTAATGAACCTTTTCTGCCTGAGTTACAAAACGGTAACTTTGGAAAAATCTGAGGCTTTTCTTTTCGCTAGAATCTTTTTTTTAAACCCAGTTGTTGCTTAAATATAACAGATTAGAGAGGAAGCAAAGTTTTGGATTTTGTGAGACCAATAAAACATTAAAATTCTAATAATTTCCAAAGACAACGTCCCTGAATCTCTGTTTTTGTTCTTCGTTTTGAATATAACTTTACATGAAAAGCAGGCCAGTGAAAACTTTTCAACCACATTTAGACTCTGTTTCATCTGAAGGCCAAGTTGCCTCCATGTTTTATCTAAAGGTATAGAAGAATTTGGTCCCATCAGCCACAGAGCAGAAATGTCCATGTTTGCATTCTCCATCCCATACAAGTGGAAAATGGGTTTCCAAAATAAAAGAAGCCAAAAAAGATACACGTTCAACCACTGCAACATACAATATTAATATGTTCATTTCAGTCACAATGACAATCATTTAACAAAAGGATCTGCGAATCAGATTAAATATAAAAATATATGCATGAAGTAGAATAAATAAATATGGAATAAATTCCAAAATTAGCAAGGAGTTAGAAGAAGATAGCCTTTAACCGTTAGCTACCTTAAGGCTAATATTTAGTTATTTGTAGATAGCACTGCTAGCACTAGTCTGCTAAGGCAAGATTTTCATGCCTTTATCTTTAATGGGCAGACATGAGATAGACATCTTTTCATCGAACTCTCAGCAAGAGAGTAAGGCATAAATGTTTTCTTCTAATGACCAGCTTCAAAGACATCAAATGAGTCCTCCGTGGATGAAGAATGTCATTATTACACTGAAAAGACACTATTTGCTTTAAATCCTCAGACCAGACAGGCCATCTTAAAAATACCCTGCAGCCAGCTGTTACTGATTAGTTTCTCATAATGTTTGAGTCTTCTGTTCTTATCTAGACAATGGGAATTATTTTTGTCCTAAGAGCAACAATGAACATCATTTGCAAATAAAATAAAGAGAGAACAGCAAAAAGAGGATTTGTAGATAGCAGAAAGAGTTTGGAAGGAAAGAATGAAACAATATTGATGCATATCCTGCCCCAGTTTGTGTGCGTGCACCGCTTTTGGAAATTTCAAAATCAAATCCGATAGCTTGTTGGATGTATGCAGTAATCCCCCCCCCATCTGCTGTGTGGGTTTGTGACGATGAGATAAACCTAAAAGGCGGTTTGTGAGACCTTTCTGAAGCCGAAGTGCTGAAGCAGCAGTTGGCTCTGCAGACTTTGTTTACATCAATGAAGCACAGCCGAGCAGTCGTTGAACCTCCTCCTCAGAACAGCCCTCAGTTCAAATACGTTCAGTTCAGGTCCTTACTTAAACACAAAGGAACACTTGGCTCTGGAATCAAACTTTCCAAAAACACTTAAATGTGATGTATGTGGTAAAGGCTAATGTTGACTTCCTCCTTAACGACCGTACTCCGTGTTAAGCTAACAGTTTTTACAGGGTCCCCTGAGTGGCGGGTCGGTGGACCCCTTCACAGTCCTGGTGGCTTTGGAGACTAAAAGCTGTCATTAACACTCGGCCTGTCTGGCCTTTTGCTGTTTTGCCTCTTCTGTGGGCCATCTGGCCTCAGGTCCTGCTGTCGAAAACTCAGCATTGTCATTACTTGATGGACGAGCAGTTGACGCAGAAAGATGGAGGCTACATATGAAGAGTTTACGCACCATGTTTGATGTTGCGGCTGCAAAAAAGATTACATTTTCAAACATTTGAAGACATATATTAAGAGGATAGCGGAAACCTTTTGAGGCAATAATGTTCCCTTGAACGTTCTGGCTGAAACCAGCCAAAACAGTAAGGAAGTGATGATTTTTTATTTGTACAACCCCTCACTGCTTTCAGCCCACGACAAGTTGTAGTTTTGCCACTCTATTAAAAAGCAGCATGCTGAGTTTACCATGTCACGAATCGGAGAAATGAGATGAGGCCACAGACGTCCCGCTGAGTCTTCCCTGCTATCGGGGTCCAGATCTCTGGACCCCGTGCCTTGTGGTGCACATCCGCCCGCGCGTATGTGGCGCTATCCCTGCATCTGGGAGCATTTACTGTGGCGCAGCTCCTTCAATAATCGTCAGGATGAGTAGATGAGACAAATGCTGTGAGGTCATCTGCTGCTGCAGAGTCTGAACCCGGTCAAAAAGAGACTGATTTATGGATGCTTACAAGTGGCCATAAATTGCTTGCAAGTCCTGGTAGTCTGTGTCTTTGCTTTTGAAGGTGCGTGTGAAAGTTTTACTCGCCATTATAAAACCCAATATGAATGCCGGGTTCCTACGACCTCCATAGTAGTGATGGAGACTGAAACGTAGAGCTTCTTCTGTCCTCACAATTTCAGGGGACGATATCTAAACTAACAGTGCAACGGCTGATAAATGCCTTCTATGGAAAAATGGCAATCAATTTGGACAGTTCAAGGCAATTTGGGAGAAGAAAAATAATATAAAATGCCTAACAAAAATATTAATAACCCTGGAACTTTTTTTTTTTACAACAATCCACTTTGAAGTTATTTTGTGACGGACTAACACAAAGTAGTGAATAGCTATGAAGTGGATGACTGATGGTTTTCATTATTTTTACAGGTGAAAACCTGAAGAGCGTGCGGTCCCTTTGTCTTTAGCTCACATGAGTCAGCACTTTGTAGCAACACCTCCCGTTGACGTTACGGCTGCGCGTCTTTTAGTAAATGGCTCCACCAACTTTAAACATCCAGAACCCGAGAATATTGCCGCTCATTTTAAAGACAGATCAAGTCCGATCAAACTGGACTGGGAACATCTGCAAACATCATTTTTTTCAAATCTTGCCAAATATTCTGAAATTTGACTAGGCCTTAGCCATTCTAAACACGAATTTGGTTTAATCTAAACCACTCTATTGTGTGTCTGGCAGTATCTATTTTCCTATCCACTCTGATAATCTTCCCTGTCGCTCATGTTCAGGGTGTTAGCTTTTTTTTCCACACATAACACTTTGGGTGAAACCCTTAAAGTTCATCTTTGGTAACTTTTGGTGCATCACCTGAATCTATTTATTATTATAAACAATAATAATAAAGAAACACACATACATGTATTTAGTTTTCTTTCACTTTCACTTCACGTCCATCTTACACTGTACATTAAACGCATCAAAGTCTACTCTATACCGTGGCAGAATGTGAAAGAAGCGATATGAAATTCTTTACAAGGCATTGTGAATACCACAGAAGCCAAGGAAAGATTTTCCCTCTGTGATGGAAAAATAATATATTATCTGTGTTGAATGTTTGCGAAGCTGCAACATACCTACGAGGGAGACAGACAAAGAGTCTACGCATAGAAAAGCTGGAATTCAAATAAAATCAGGCTGAACTAACAGGAAGAAAGCAAACAAAAAAATATGGGGGGGGTGCGGTGAGGTTTTGTGGGTCGGAATTAGGAGCTGCTAGTAAAAACCTCTTCATCTCGCACCACAAAAGGATCTGAGAGCCAAATACAGAATGGGAGAGAGGCACAATGAAAGGAAAAAACTGGGAGAAAAGAAAAGAAAAACAGTGAGTGATAATAACCACTGAAACCTCAACTAGCTGTGGAGCAAAATAAAACAACGATTTCTTTTAGCGCATCTCTGATTGCGCTGTCTGCCGACATCTTGCTCTACAGCAACCCTAGCCAGAACAAAATCACATATTTACACAAACATTACTGGTACAACTTGCCTGCAGGAGCTCACATGTGTGTATTTCTTTCTGTGCGAATGCAAAAACGCTGATTAATGCAGGTAGGTGTGTGCGATCACAGAGGATAAGGGCGTGGGGTGTCTCTGCTGGTTTTATTGTGTTCTTTGCGGCGCAGACTGGCGATTACCCAGTGGGGCGTAATTGTTGAGGATGCAGCTCGGAAAGCATGCTGTCTGCACATCAGCGCAGACGTCTCGGCTGGAAACACACATGGTAACATGTTGGGAACATTAGCTGTTAGCTTGATTTCGGTCATAAAAGTGAAGCTGATAAGGCTGATGAGTGGATCCCTCTTCCTCGAGGTGTTTTTTTTTTTTTTTTTTTTTTCCCCACTCCCAACATCCACTGATCGTTTTATTTACCTCCACGCTGCTGCTATGGTGGGAAACGCTGCAGTGCTTCTACATTTGTACAATTTGCGAAACATGACTTAAAAAAAAAAAAAAAAGAACACAGTGGCTGGAGCAGAACCAAAGAGAAGAAGAAAGCATACCAGAGGGCTGTGTGTTTGGGACAGAAAATTACTGACATGTTGTTGGGTGACCGTCTGGCTTTAATCTGCGGAACAATGGAGGCCTTAGCCGGTTTCGGTGGAGAAAAGGTCGGCTGTCTGTCTCAGACTGGCACTCTCACATAAACACACTTATAGCTGGGTATGCTGATCTCTGTCAATATGAATGAGAGTCAGAAGCTGTGTGGGGGGGTGTGTGTTTATCCCTCTGTGCTGCTCTGTCAGTGTGCCTTACTTTGATTATTTGACAGCGGGAAGTCTCTTTTCAGAAAGTCTCCTTGGCTGTGATTTATGAGAGGAAGGAGAGACGCGGCTTGTATGAGGAGAGAAAACATGCCTCAACACACACACACACACACTTGTTGAGAAGTTATGCTTGAAGTACTCACAAACCACACTTCATTAACACTGTTTATCAAATCACTGATGATTCAGCGGACTGCTGCCTGCATTAGGCTGATGCACTCAATATGTGTATTTCACCTGAATGAAGCATTTGATCTCCTATGTGCACGCACATATGGACACAAAGCCTTATTGTTGGCCTGTGAAGTGTAAAAACCCTTTTTGGACATGAAAATGTTACTGCACATGTAAAGAAGTAGCTGGAGCAGCTTAAAGTTACTGTAAAACCAGAATAGTCTATGTAGTTGAAACCAGATGTCTTAGAATCGGAAAAGTTTAGTCTGATTTGATGTCAGATGGGAAGAATTTTTATTTTTTTTTTATTGTTGGAAGAATAGATTTGAATAGAAATAAACCTTATTGTACCGGAAATTCAGGTAAATCTCACAATTTACACAGGCTACGGGGCCGTAGCCTGTGTGTCTTTTTTTACTCAATGTATGTGGATTATGCGTCAAGGTGAGACATTGCTCATCTTTAAACATGGAGGTTGTGCCATCCATAAATCAGAATTTGCTTTGTCAGAATCAAACAGGGATTTCCAACATCGTTTTTAAAACATGAAACCGGGAGCTCGATCTCCTGGATTTCCAGATGAAACCACAACTAATGTCTCCACTTTATGACTTATGCAGAGTCACTCCAAACCTCGTAGAGTTTTGCAACGTCAACAAACTGAAAGTTAATGTCTTCAACTTAAACTTTAATCAGGGGATGCAGGTTGTTCGTAAACCAGCGGGTTGTTGTTTGAACCCCCGCTTTGTTCGCCTCAGTCAGTGTTGGTCAGAGAGCCAAGTGGCGCCAATTGTACGGTCGTCTTGCTTAAGTCAGTCTGTCCCAGGTTACGGTAGCCAACATTAGTGTATGAATGGGTAAATGACTGATTGTAGAGTGAAGCGCTCTAGAAGAACCAGCCGTTTACGCACAGCTGAGCAGATGAGAGGATAGCAAAGGAGAGCTGGCTCCGGTTCAGAGAAATAACTTGTAATTATTTTGCAGTGGTCACATTTGATACCATTTAGTCAAATTTATTCCTATGAATCTTTAATAATTAAAGCCTGCACAACATGTCCAATCGGAGGTCTAACCACACAAAGCTGCAGCAGCTGCAGCCACTTCAGTGCGTCCGCCCCTTTCAAACATGAAATCGGTCAATGAGAGACACCCTTGGGGAGTGGTAATTGGCTTAATTTGTATCGTGGATCGAAAAATGCTCCAAGATATGGTGACATTAACAGTTTGTAACATATACCTGTCCAGATCTTTAAATGAAGAGTAGTCTGAATGAGGAAGTACTGATCTCACTGTTTGCAATATGACACAGAAGGGATTTCACCATAAACATATTTATTGTGGAGATTTTTTTTCTCCTGATATTAAACTAGCAACTTCTTTATGCATTTGCTCTGGAAAAGGCATGAAGTTCAAGTTTCTGAAAAAAAAAAAAAAAAAGCTAACATGTGATCTTAGATGCTTTTTATTAAGAAAAACATTGTATTTTAACATTTATATTCTACAGAACGCCAGAAAAAGTCTAATTTTGCATTATTTCTAGTAGCATATAATGTATTTACATTTACTCGCCCCTGGCTACATGGCAACAGGCTATATTTTCAAATTATTTGCATGTGATTTAATAACTCAGAAAGCCACAACATGCATGACGGAAGAATGCAATCCGTCCATCTGATTAAACAATCAAAAAGATAAAGATTTTACTTTTATAAGGTTGGAGGAAGTTCATCCACATATGCAGACAAGGATAGATGCACAAACAACCTCAACAGTAGGGAAAACGGTCGCTTTTTAAGCTGCATTGACGGAAATTCAAACATCTCTACTACGAAACAAAATGGTATTCTGTCTATGGAAACTGTCAGAAAGATTAAGCTGCTTTAATTTCTCATTCAGTCAACGGGAAGATGACCTATAAAGGCATCAAACAAACATCTTCCAGTTGCAATGTGATTTCCATCTATCTGCAGATACGCCGCAAACAGACTGATTGCATTCTGTGTCCTAAATTGGGACAGCTTATCCAGGATAACCACCTTCCAGTACACAATTCCCATCCAAACATCGTTACACGGTAAGCATTTCCAAAGAAGACAGTGGCACAGAGGATCAGAGTCACAAGAAAAGGGAAAACAAATGTGCACACATTTATTTGTACACTCCGTCCACCTGTGTGCAATTAGCAGTGAGCATTTCCCGTCAGCAGAGCTGCGCAGTGCCAGACGGACTGCATGGGAATCTGCCCCGAGGACCAGGCCCCAGAAACTCCCGGTGGGAGACAGACAGAGAGCAGCGCCCCGCCAGAGCCAACTGGGCCCCGCGGAGCACAGCAACAGGTGACTGCTCCCGGTCACCATGACGACCTAAAACACTCACAGGAGGCAGGCAGCACACACGGATCTGTGCCCCAGGAGGAGAACTAAGATGAGAATTTGATGATGGGCAAACCGCAAACGATCAACAGACGCTGGATGAGTTGCTACACTTTAGCAGAACTCACCACTAGAGGCCGTTATTTCTCTGGATAACAACAGAACTGGATTTTTATTTTACAGGGCAAATCAGAAGGGCTGTCTCGTTTGAGGCCCACTTTATCACCTGTTTGGTTTATGTTTATAGATATCTCATTCATATCAAAATCATATATCCGATAGATATATCATTTTGTTCTAAGATGTCTGAGTTTGCCTATGTGTGAATGCAAATGTCTTGATTTTACATACTTCTTAGAAAAGGGGCAGGATACACATAATACATGGTTAACAACTTTTAAAATGTACAAAAAGAAAGAGCATCCAGTTTACAGATGTAAAAGCTCAAAAGAACAAAAAAAAGGAAGGAAAAGAAAGAAGATATCTGAGCAGGGACTGCATTGAAGAGTGAAAGGCTGAAAGAAAAAAAATCCAAATTACCGGGTATCCATCCCGTCCAACCTTGCCCTGGTGAGGTTAGACATCAAAGCAAGAAGCAGTGAGATAAATCTGAGCAAAAACCAGCAGCTGAACACAACACATTGCATTTACATCAAATCACCATGTCAGCATGGGAGTTTTTACACTGAAACTTTACTTTTGTGGTGGTCTTCATGACAGAAAAGCACAAAACAAAACTTAATTGAAACATCGAAGGAAAAAGGTACAGTTATAATAAAAAAAACAGTTATAATAATAAAAAAGATGTTTGGCATTTATAGAGTCAGTTATGTTGCTTGTTTGGTCAAAATGGAAAGATTATGGCACATCTGCAAACTCATACTTGTATTTGTAACAAGAAATTACATGCATTTGCTTTCATTTACAAACATGTGATACACTGTGATGGTCAGTCACATTAAATTCCAATAAAATACAGCAAACTTTATGGCTGCAATGTGATTAAATATGGAAAACTTAAAGAAGTACGAGCAATTTTTATCCTTTCTTATCTTTTTCCTAAATTTGCTTTTACTGAATGTTTGTGGCTGTTTCATTGTGCCTGCAGTAACACTTTACTCCGCGCTGACAGGCTGTTAATTTTTACATCTTCAGGCAAATTTATAGAATCAATACTTTTGTGCATGTTCGGTAGAAATCTGCGTTATTTCACGGACATTTAGTGCAAAACCAATTGCGCAGACGGTTCTCTTCCAATCAAACTGCTCCCAGGACTCGTGTAACTTTTACCAGGCCGGTTTGTTCTGTTTCCATGTTTCCAGAAAACGTCACGGTGGTTTTCAAAGCCAATAATCGCTTCTGCACATCTGATCAGTGCCACATGTGAGAATAAAAACAAAGGATAAAACGTCAAAAAATTGTTCCTGGTCAGATCACGACGTGTCCACCAGTGCAGAGGCGAAGGCTGTGCCGGCAGCAGCTACGATGCCTTGGTTGGTCATAACCATCGTCAACACACACCACCTGGAGATCTCACACACTTCTGTAGGTGGTCTTTACATTCAAGTTTTATTGCTGTGGGAGAAGAGCTCGTATTTGGTTTGACTTGCAGTTTGTCCGGCGGTGCGGCCGGGTATGACACGTGTGATGTGTGTGCACGGCTAAGGTCAAAACCTCCAAAATGAATTCAATACTACCTGGACGAGATGAAAGCATACTTACAGGAGGCCCTGCAACAGAGAAGAGAAATGAGGGAGAAGGATTAGAAGGCCTGCGCGTTACATGTTTTCTGACAGATGAAGCACAGCATGTGTGAGTGAGAGAGCAACCTCCGCTTTGTATACCAATCACTTCCTCCGTGGAGCACCCACAACAGAAATCCTGTCCATGCCATGTGGTCGGTTGGATAATGACCGTAATTAACCCCGCGAACATGGCAGAGGAGAAGCTCATTAGAGCCGCTGCCAGCGCAGTTTGTGGCGAAGCCGTTATGATAAACAGACTTCGACATGAGCTGTGTTTTAGATTAGGAATATGAAGTCATGTCAGGGCTTCGTTTCTCAGGAAGATGTGGGAGAGTGAGGGTGGAGGACAAGCGTTGAGTGAAGTGGTCAGGAAACCCATGCTTCTCTTTTAGGAGAGCAAACTGGATGTCTTTGACATTCCTACAGGGAAGCCTTTCACTTGTGATTGAGACTCTCTGATGTTGAGCATCGGCAGCAAAAAAAAAAAAAAAAAAACAAAAAAAAAACACATACCTTCTGTTTTCCATAGTTTGTTTAACTGAAAGCAATGGCAACGATCAAAGAATTCCCCCTTTTTTTCTCAGCGATCATAATTAAATCTAAGAAAAGGCAGAGGCTGAGGTTCCTGTTCAACCACATAAACCTCCATAATGTGAGTGTATTATTATGCCAATTAAGGTATTCTTTTTGAAATGTGTTTTCTGAAGTTTCTGGACTTGATTTTCTACTCATGAGGATGCTGATTTATTTGATTGGTGAAACAGTCACAGTGTATGAACAAAATTCAGAGCTCATAAACGTCAGGCCAACAAAAAAAAACAACATAGCATTGAGAACAGGAAGACAAGTGTAATATCTGAGGGTTTTCAATACAAATTAAAGATACCAGAATTGGTAAACTTTGGAATATGTGGAAAATTAAAGATAAGAAAGGGTAAATAAAGGTGTGTTGGAGACAACAGCCATCAATGCAAAAGTTTCAACCCCTTTTAAACTTCTTCAAATTTTGTCATTTTTCTTATGTACTTTATTTCATTAGTGTTACATAAGTTAAAGTAGCACATAATCGAGCTATGAGAAGAAATCTTTAATTAATGAGAACCTGAAAGTTGAGGCACCCTGTTTGATGACTAATGTTCACTAAACTTTGCGTTAGAGGTATGAAATGAAAGGGGACTTAAAATGGAGATGAAATTCAGCTTTATATTTGTAAAACAAAGCAAACAAAAAAAAATATGATTTTTATTCCACTTTATATTTATGGAAAATGTTGTGTTAATCAATTACATAAAGAGCCTATAAGGTAAATTCAAGTTTGGGATTAACATTGTGACAGATTGTTGAAAATTTCAAGAGGCATAAAGACTTTTGCAAGGCGCCGTGGCTGCGTCAGACAGCAAGGCAAACACACACTCTGGTTAAAGAACCACACAGTTAGAGCAGCTTTGTGCTCTAAACGTGAGGCAGGTGTGTTTGTGTGTGCAGAATAAAGAGAAAGGAAAAGAACAAGAGGAAGAGAGGAGAGTTTGTAAAACAAGAGCGAAGGGCATCAGGGAGAGCTGGAGGCAGGACACCAGATGAATAGCTCAGATTTAATATGCTCAATGAATCCGTCTAAACTCTTTCCTGTTTTTCACGATTGAATTTTCTGTCTCTTTTCTGCACTCCCGTTTGTTTTCCTTTTTAGTTTCTGACAGAAAAACATTCTGGTCTTGTGAAACAGAGGTTTTCCTGTCATTGAGACGGAGCATGGTGCAACAATCTCTCCGTAGGAGCAGCCCACACACTTAAAACTGCAAATGAAATGCAGCGGCAAAAAAAAAACAAAAAAAACTCCAAAAACTCCAAGACAGAACCTAAACAGAACCACACAGAGCTTCTGCAGAAACAGACCACTTTTTTGACTAAATGTACTAAATCCCCCTGCAAAACACCAAGCAGATGGCAAACATCTGATTTAGTAATAAACTAAGATGATTAAGATATAATCTGAACAATAAACAGTAAATTAAAGTTTTGGAAAGGTCTGATGATGTTCTGCAGTTTTCATGCCAGCAGTTTCAACAAACAGAACTCTGGCCCGAATCATTCTCAGAGAAATGTTAATCCTGCTGCAAATGCTCACTGCTACTCCAAAACCTTCAGCTAAAAAAAAAAAAAAAAAGCCATGACAAATTGAAATCTTGTTTTAGAAGGCATTTCCAAAAATAACCATGTCCAGCTGTTTTGGGGAACACTACCAAGGTTTTGTGTGTTTACGTTAAAGGAGGGAAACAAGACGAATGCATTATGCGATTGAAAACAACGACTTGTGCATATTTTGATACAGTGCAAAACTCTTGGGTTAATCTTCATTTCTTTTAAATTTCACTGAATCGGTTAAAGTGCCCCTGGCTTTTGATTTTTCTTTTTTTTTTTTTTTAAAGCTTTCTTTGTAACTTGGCTGCTTTTTTATTCATTTTCATTCGATTATTTTTTTGTTTGCTATGCTGTGCAACTTCTAGACTTAAACTATAAGCCAGTATTGCTTTGACAAAGAATATGATTTGCCCCCCCATCTTCCGCACAATACTGCAGTCTTGCCTCGATGTGTGTTGACAGAGGGATCTGCATTACTTAACCATCGCATTCACAAGGATAGCTCTCGTCTATTACTCATCCACAACAACGACTCATCGGTAAGCTGGCGTCCTTCCCACTGACTCCTGCAGTATGAGATGCCATGATCTAATTCTGTTTTTGGAGCCTCCACTTCCTGAGAAACATCTGAAAATCAAGATGAGTCAAACTTGCAGAACATCTGTCACGGTGACCTTTCGTCTGGCAAGAGTCGCTGCGTCGGTTCCATAATGAGCATCCAGTGGTTTGGACAGAAACGAAACGATAACGTCGCGCAGCGATGCTGGCGATGGAGACTCATTAGGGTCGATCGGCTGCAGCTGCTACCGCTCAGCGACATCGACCGACATCTGGGCAAAGTTACCGCAGCCACATGGTGGAAATTAAAGCGACGCTGGCTCATGATAGGTCGCAACGAGGAGAACAAGCAGCCCACCATCCTGTGACCTGAGTCATGGATCACTGCCTTTACCAGCCCTCAGCTAGAGCCCGTCTGCTCACCCGGAAAAAGGAAAGAAGTTCACAGGGAAAAGGAGTGAGTGAGTGACAAAAGAGAAGGAGAGGAAGAGAACGAAATGAAATGGGAGACGGGTTTTGCTCACCAGGTTCCCCTCTTCTTCCGATGCGTCCGCGTTTTCCTGGAGGCCCTGCAGAGACACAGAGAGGAATAAGTCTCCTAAATCAGCACGTCAAGAGACAGAGGGGAAAGCAAATTGGGGATTTTATTACTTTTTATTCCCAAAATAATGAAAAGAGCTTTAAAAAAATAAAGTGCTGATTTTACAACATACAGTAGTTTTCGTTTCACAAGTTTCGCACATCAACTCTGAGCCCCCGCCGCTCCCGTCTAACACTTTCATGGATGCAACTTGAAACTCTGCCTTCCTGGTAAAAAGATTTCTCTGCAGCCGATAGAGGAGGAACGCAGTGATATATAGCAGGAGTGCTGCTGAGGGACGTGGAAATAAATTATTTGCCCCTGAGCCAACGTCCATCTGCTGCAAGATCCCCATGCTGAAGCAGGAACATGAATCACTGCTGTACAGATGCTGATGTGTATCAATTTATATGCTGTTACTTTGCAGAGATGTTTTTTTTTTTTTCCACTTTTTATAGTTTTGTGAGAACTGAGGCCAATTCAAGTGACCAGTAAGAAGACGAGCAGCTAAAAACATGCAGATAAAAGAGCAAGCAGGTGAGGAATAGACTGAACATTGTGTTTTCTCTAATTAGCAAAGCAAACACGAGGACAATGAGGCACAGCAGTGGCGCTAACAGCATTACCCTGACTGGCAGAACATAATTAGCTGAGCAAACCTGTGTGCCAAGTTACTTTAAGAAATCTGCTTTCAAAGATTAAAACACAGTTGCTTCCTGAAAGCTAAAGATAATATTGATGAATTGCTTTCAAAGCATCTTAGTGTATTTTTGTAAGAATTGTAAGTTATAGTTGGATTCTAAACACTTTACAAATAAATTAAAAAGCAACACTGTCACTTAGGGGAAAAAATAGATAATATTCAATAAATAAATTGCTAATATTTTAATATAGTTAAACTTTTAAATCTGGATAAAAAAAATGTAATGCTAGCTGCATGTAGTCACATTTACTTCTCCTCTATAGCACTGGAGTTATTAGGGGTCCTTTAAAGCGATTTTTAATATAAAGCACTTATGTGAGCCCAAGAAGCGAGAGGAATAAATGTTCAGTTTGCTTCTCTATGGACTGAAACGACTCTGAAACACTTGAAAACTTCCATGTTCCCGTGCGTTCGCAATGAAATAGGAAGCATACAGAGTTCCTGACACTAAGTGCTTGTGGCTGCAGACATGTTTTCTCTATCGTCATTATTGGCGTTATTGTAGCAGCCTAATCATTTCCTGACTCTGCCAGCTATATCAAAGAGCTCGCTCATTCTCCTCCATGTCTCCCACTCTAATCCTTCTTTCCTTCCTTTACGCAACATCAACATCCTATAAATAGTCTCGGAGCCAAAGGATTACGGAAGTGGCAGAGCAACAGCTAAAGTAAACTCAAGATGACGATTGGCTCCATTTCCCAATCCACACTTTCCGAATTAGGGTCTTTGTTAAAATTCTCAAGTGCGTTTGAATGTTTCAGTTTCAAGAAAACTTTTTTTTTGGTGATTAAAAAAAGTGGCAATAAGTGAAACAGAGGGTTGGAAACAGATTCAGGCCTACATTAGGTTAATAGATTCAAGCCTACTAACTCACGCAGGTGGTGTTTATATTAATGAGCTCCACAATTAATAATTTTAAACGCATTTAAAGTGCAGGTATGGGTGTTACAATACGCGAGTCAGCATGCACCACCCTCGCTCCACCTTATTTTTTTGAGACTTTGACAGCGGCAGTCCGCATGCCAACAAGTTTTTCTTTGCCAACTTCTGAAGGAGCAGGCGTCAGGTTGACTGAAATGTGGGAGTGTGATTAGTCCTGAGTGGCAGATTTGAGGCCGAACGAAGGTGGGTGATGACAAACTGATGGAGAGCTGGATCAGTTTGAGGGATTAATGGGAAAAGCAGTCTTGCTGGAATACAGTAATTGCAGACATAGTTCAGATTCCTGTTCCAGAGCGGAACGTTAAATGCTGAAATAAAGACTTATCGACCTTTCTGTTAGTTTTGCTGTTCATTTGTCTTTAATATGGCAATGCATGAGCCAGAGAAGGATTTATAACTACAAGAAGCAAGGGAAAGTCCTTATTTCTGCTTTCTCTCTCTTCCTAGCTGCTGATTATTTTAAGTATGTATAGAGTTTACAACTGAATAGCAAAACTTTGCCTGATTTTAAGCAGATGTGAGGATGCAATAGAAGGAGACATTAAGAAGACATTTTTTTTTAGAATCACTGCTTTTTGCTTCCACAAGCAAAAGTTGAACATATAACTAACTACTTTTTAATCAGCATAATCATTCATTCAAGATTTCTTCTTCTCTGAGTACTGCAGTTTTCAAGCGGGACCCCGTCTAAGGTGGTCCTAATGCCAGAAACAGCAGGGTAATGATCCTGTTATGTGCTCAAATTGAATAAATGTTTAAGTTATGGGTTTTTAATAAATCTCTTCCCAGCATGAAATAGTCCCAGTTCAAGTTTAAGTATTTTACAGTTTGCACTAGATATGATCAGATGGAGTCCAAATTAAAGAAGGAACTTTAAAACAGCCCCGTAGTTTCAGAGCAGAATAAGGTTGTATGTTTTAACAAGCAGACCTGCAACGTCAAGACGACATGCACAGTAACGGACAATACTGCTTCAAACTGCATCCAAAATACTAAGATTAGCAAACTTTCCTATGACTCTACACAATGAGTGCACTACTGTGTGTGAGGTTTATTATTTCACTCACTCAAAATACACATCAGGCATGTGCATTGAGGCCAGTTTGAGCTCATTCATCTGGCCAACTATACGATAGACAGGCAGGGTGTGAATGCAAGACATCTGAAACATGATATCCTACTGAATACTGCATCCAGGCTGCACATATTGCACAGACTTATATTGCAATGTGACTGCAAAGACATCTATTTTGGAGCGAAGGTTTACCAAACCGTAGTTTATATTTGAATGTTTTGTGAGTGTAAGCTTTTCAGTTTCAGTTTTTATCAATAAAAATATTTTACATATTGAACTATTAATGAGAAGCTTCAAGTAGGACGCCAGTGTCACTGTAAGTAAATTAAATACTAAGTTCCCTCCAAATGGAATCGTGGAGTAGCAGATATGGAGAGAAAACAGGGTTCCTAGAGATTGGTCTAAATTAAAAATAAATGTATAGATCAAGACCCCTTTTTAATAAAAATTTGGTATTGTTGAAAACCACTGGGACCAAACTTATAATACTGCCATTAACAACAGTCACTTGTTGGGGACCAGAAGGACTACTGTCACAATTAAGAGATAAACCAAGAAATCGGCTGGTGACCAGAACTGGGTCATTTTGAGCCTGATCACCCTTGATCCAAGATTGGCCATTTGACAAATCAAAAACGTGATTTTCTTTTCCAATCAGTGACCCTTCACTTCTAAGCAATACCTAAACTAATCAAAACAATCTACTGTTAGTATCAGTACATCAGCATAGTTAAAGATATAAGAAGCTGTTCAAAGGAAACAATATTCAAGACAAGTTAGCGGTTCATTTAGGCAGAGACAGAACGAGACACTTCAGGGTACACACCGACCACACTAGGTAATATTAGATCCTGAAGAAAGTTAAAAATTTCAACTCTGTAAAGTCTGTCGTTGTTCTTAAAGTACTAACAACTATCTTTTATACCGGGTGCCTCCAAACTAACATGAGGCAAGAAGACATTGCCCCTTACTCCTTAAGTATCTAATTGATGTCAGGAAAGTTAGAAAGCAACATTTTAAATGTTGCTTTTAAATGTTGTTTTATGGTTCAGAATCGGTGACGAAAACTCAAACCTCAAAAACGAGAAAGTTATACGATGGAAAACTGCATCTGGAACGTAACTTTCTCCAGCGCTCTCTGGTAAGTACACAAACGGCTCCTTGGGAACAGGATGGCAACGTAGAGCACACAATGAACTCCGTCTGAACTGTAACGTAGATGTGTGTGTGTGTGTGTGTGTACATGTGTTTATTAGTTGGCCTGAGGCTCTGTATCTCAGACTCCACATATAGCTCCTCCTTATATATAAGGGGTACAAAATCACGCAGCTCAAGGTCTGACAAAGGGGGGCCCACAGGCAGACCCATCTTCTTAAACTTTTTATTTGTGTGAGAAAATCCAAGAAAACCAGAGGGGGGAAAAAAATACATGTTTTGGGTAAACAGATCCAAACTGAACGACACAATTTCTAGACACCACTTCTGTAGAGATAATCTGCTAAAACCAGACTGTCCTACGTCAGTCTTTGGTCTCAAAACCGCTTCATGCTCCTTGTGCGCTAATGGTTGATTTAGCTACTGTGACGTTTCTTGCAAATGAAGAGTTTCCAGGGAACAAAGTGTTGGGGATTCAGGAAGCAACACCCCAACCTTTCCTTTTTCTAGGCCCCACTTTATTTAATGCAACAACTGGGAGCAATAAGGAGTCAGCTGAAAATAGAAGAATGTGATACTTTGAATGCCCAACCGCGGGACTTACATCCATCTGTCCATCAACCCCCAGCTCCACACACACACACACACACATATATGTCCACACACCCACTCTTACATGTTCCTGAATCCTCCTGTGACAGGAAAAAAAAAATCTAATTTGAGTGGAGGAAGAGGAGAATGGCAAGAGGAATGGGAAAAATCTTGAAGGCTGGCTTGTTGCTAGCCGGAGGCAATGGGTCTCTGCAACGCGTTCTCTATTCCTATTATTTCTTTGCATTTCTTCAAATTCCCAGGAGCGGATTTTCGTTCATTGCTCTCTAATTACAGAAACTAAAACTTGAGTTTCCCTTCATCAAAGCTGTACTGTTCTCCATGTCTGCCGATTCGGACAGGGAAAAAATGCCCCTCTTGAGTCCAGATTATCTATTCTAAACATGCAAACCTTTGTTTAAACTCGCTAAGAGACTTGTTTCCCGTATTTGTCCAGGAAATAATTTATTCGCTCATAAAGATTTGTGTTGCTGGTAACTGATGTAAGACTGTATTAGCGTGA